AACTCAATCAAGGTAAAATTTAACCCAAGTGATCAAGATTGCTTGACCCTCAACCTAGAGAAAACATTTTGAATAGCACAAAATCAAATATAATCTTTTTTTCTTACACATATGGCGTGTAGGTATAAAAATATAGATTAAGCGTTACAAATTTAAGCAAAAAATTCCCCAAAAAAAAGGAAAAAGAACAAAAAAAAAAAAAACAATTATTGCACTCAACAATCCAATCTTAAACGAATATTATATATCCACAATAAATAAAACTAATCCAATCAATCCATACTCTTCTTCGCAAGCGCCCTCTTCTTCTTTTTCTCAATGAAGGCCCCTTAACAGCGAGGCAAATCCGGCGGCGGAGGCGGCAACGTCGACGACGGCGTGGGCCCGTTCTCCACCTCGAATGCCATCCCCAGGCCAAGCGGCAGGTGAACGTCCAAGTGGCAGTGCATGAACCAAATCCCTGCACGTGTCAATTAGCTGCTAAAATTGACTAATAATTTTTTAATTTGTGTTGATAATTTAATTTTATTTAATTTATGTTGTCAATACATAAAAAAAGTACAAATATTAAACTTATATATATATAGATATATATATATCAAAAACTTTAAAATAAAATATTATTTTTCAAAATAAATTTACATCGCCATAACTTACCAGGATTATCAGCCCAGAACCGAATAACAGCCCAACCTCCCACAGGCACAGCAATGGTATTCCTCACCTGCGGATTCCACAAATTAAACTTCTCCACCGCCTCCGTATGATTATAATTCCCAAACCCCTGCGCCAACACGTAGAAATTAAACCCGTGCAAATGTATGGGATGGCTATCGCTGGCAAGCACCGCCGTATTCTGCAACACAATCTCCACCGTCGAATTAAACCTCAACCTCTTCACCTTCGTCCCCTTCTCCGACAGCTGAAGCGATGTCCCGACCGCGTTCACGTTCGGGTTCGTGTAATCAAAAACCAGAGGCGGGCGATCAGGGAAGTCCCTCGTGTAAACTCCCTCGACTCCATTAAAATGGGCTTCGAGCAGGGAAATGTTGGTGGGGAAACGGAAGGAGACGTTGTTCATGTTGGCGGACAAGGCGAAGCCTTGGCATTGGGGCTGGTCGGAGGAACAAGGAGTGAGGCTGAGGCCGAAGGTGATGAACATGCGGTCGGAGATGGAGAGGGGGAGGGATTGGGTTTGAGGGAGGAGGAGGGCGGTGAGGTTGGAGTAGAAGTGGTGGGCGGTGGGGGTGTCGTTGAAGGAGGGGAGGGAGGGCATGAGGGGAGGGGTGGTGGTGGTGGGGGAATTGGTGTAGGAGAGGATGGCGAGGGTGGTGGTGTTGTCGAAGGGGATGGCGGGGGAGCTGGCGTAGGTGAGGGCGGAGATGTAGTAGTTGGAAGGGTGGGAGTCGGCGTGGAGCAGGGCGTCGATGGTTTGGCCGGGGGCGATGGCGATGGTGTCGGTGGGGAAGGGGGTGGTGTAGGAGGCATCTGCGGCGACCACGGTGAGGGTGTGGCCGGCAATTTTGAAGAAGAATTGGGAGTTGAGGGCGGCGTTGATGATGCGGAGGAGGTAGCTCTTGCCCTGTTCTACCACGAGCTTGTAGGTGTCTGCAGGGGTAAGTGGATGATTGCTAATTTTGAATGTGGTAGGAACTAAAAATAAATTTGTAGAATATTATGATTAAAGTAATTTCAGCTACAGATGTTATTTAGAAACAATTTAGCTGAATTTTAAACAAAAGAAATTTTAAAAAGTATTAGTTTCATCATAACTCAAATTTATTAGTTTATGTATCATAATGATTTTAAAAAATTATACAAAATAATAAACAAAGAAAATAAAATTGAGAGGAGAAAAGAAGATTCTAAAGAGGAGAAGTCTTGTTCATTGTATTAGTTTCTATTCTTGAACCAAACAAAGCTCGGTACACCAACAAATTTATTTTACTATTATTTAAATATTGATATATATATATATATATATATATATTAAAAAAGAAAGAGCTAAGCTATAGCTCCATACATGTTAATCTGAAAGTTGGATTACAAACTGAGTGAGCAGAACACTCATACCAAATTCATCCCCTCTAACTAACTAGATCATACAAGTAAGTATACAAAAAAATTTAGGGACCTATCTATGATAAACACAAAAGATGACCTAGTGTGAAAAACAAAACATCACCCCCTACAATTAATATATGGAATGAATAAACTATCCCCATGAAGAAGTATTTCAAGTTGAGTGGAAGGTATGGTCCCTACAGCAATTTCTTCATCTTTTAAACTATAGTCACTAATTACAAAACATTTAAACAAAGAATCTCATATTACTGCATTAATTACTAAAACATTTAAAAAAAGCTGAATACATACGTTTTTTGGAGCAGGGATAGAGATCACCGGGGCGGCCATTGATGGTCAACGCATCGGAGTTGTTAAACGCACCGCCGGATGCAAGGGCCAAATTCTCAAGGTTGACCACATCGGCGTCCCACCACTCGCCGAGGAGGATGACGGCTTCCTTGTAAGGTATGGGGAAGGGATAGCCGAGAGGGCCGGCTCGCGGCTGAATGATGAGTGCTCCGTACACAGTGGTGCGGAGAACGGAGACGTGCGCGTGCCACCAAAGCGTGCCTTCTTGTCCGATGATGTTGAATTTATATGTGTAGCTATGTCCAGGCTGAATCGGACATTGGGTTATGAAGTTCGGACCATCAGCCCATGGTGTCAGACGCTGGAATATACCATGCCTGTTATCATTAAAATTATTAAGCTTTTACATATGTACCACCGAATTCCTTGGTTGATTCTATTATTAAAGGAAGACTTACCAATGAATGGTAATATTGTAAGGAGAATGATTGATGACATAGATGACGACAGTGTCACCCTCACGAGCATTGATAGTCGGGCCGGGATATTCACCATTTACTGCTGTGATTATTTTGCTCTTGCAGAGCCTTCGGACTGTTAGATTACCAACCTGGATGACACATGATAAATTGTTAAAATAATTAGCGTCCAATAATGCTTATTTAGGTCAAAAACGTCTTAATCTTTGGAATATTCTCAGTAGCAAACGATGCCATTATAATATGATCGTATTTGTCATTAATAAAATGAGTATAGCTCCGCAATATATAGTTTTCGACTGTTAATATGGGATCATTGTAGTCCATATGGAGGAGAATTAGTGCTCAATTTTAAAATTGTTGGGAATTATTTTGGCACTTTACGCTTAAATCATATGTCTTCTGGTAAAGGAATAATATTTTAAACAAAGAATAAAAATATCTATCACATTAAATTAATGATTAGATGCCCTGGACATATTTGTCATTCCTTAGTGGAATTGCCACATTTTTTTTTTGTTGGTATTATTCTCTAGTTTATCAGGTACCTACGATGGAAGCTATTTAAGCTAATTTATAATAAGAATTTTTCTTTTTTTAATTCACTTAGTCAAACATATAGTTAAGACTTAAACATCATTTCAATATTGAAAATCATTAAATATTTTGTAATATTGACTCATCAACTACCTTCTCACAAATTATATAAATATATATATAAATATAAATATGTTTTAAGTAATAAATCGAAGTTAAATACATATTACATTAAGTTAAATAATTAGATAACCAAGACATGACTGTCATCCTTACGGGAAGCTATTTATATTAAGCTCATGTACCTCAAGGCTTCTTGGGCAAAATTATTTAAGCTCATTATAATAAAACATTTATCCTATTTATTAATTCATTTAGTCAAATATACAGTTAAAACAATAACATCATGTCATTTTTTAAAATTATAAAAATGCTTGTAATATTGACTCATCAACTACCTTATTCTCACAACTATACTTCTGTAATATTTAACACAATAAATAAATATATCCCTTTTAGAATGAAAAGAAGACTTGATATTGTGATCTTGTAGAGTAGCAATTAAATTGAGTCATTTATTATTGAGATTTACAATTATCTCATGCCTTAATGATTCAAAATTCAATAAAATAATATTTTATGAGATTCTTTCATTTCTTATAAAATACAAAATAATTTTATGATCATGATACAAAATTGCAATACAAAACTTTA